TTAGGTTGTATTATTCAAAAAAGTTTCAGGTTTTTAAAAAAATGGAATATAACCTGACAATCTATTGTTAAAAAGCAGTGAAGTTGTATTATTCAAATTTAGGTTGTATTATTCAAATTTAGGTTGTATTATTCAAAAAAGTTTCAGGTTTTTAAAAAAATGGAATATAACCTGACAATCTATTGTTAAAAAGCAGTGAAGTTGTATTATTCAAATTTAGGTTGTATTATTCAAATTTAGGTTGTATTATTCAAATTTAGGTTGTATTATTCAAAAAAGTTTCAGGTTTTTAAAAAAATGGAATATAACCTGACAATCTATTGTTAAAAAGCAGTGAAGTTGTATTATTCAAATTTAGGTTGTATTATTCAAATTTAGGTTGTATTATTCAAAAAAGTTTCAGGTTTTTAAAAAAATGGAATATAACCTGACAATCTATTGTTAAAAAGCAGTGAAGTTTTATTATTCAAATTTAGGTTGTATTATTCAAAAAAGTTTCAGGTTTTTAAAAAAATGGAATATAACCTGACAATCTATTGTTAAAAAGCAGTGAAGTTGTATTATTCAAATTTAGGTTGTATTATTCAAATTTAGGTTGTATTATTCAAATTTAGGTTGTATTATTCAAATTTAGGTTGTATTATTCAAAAAAGTTTCAGGTTTTTAAAAAAATGGAATATAACCTGACAATCTATTGTTAAAAAGCAGTGAAGTTGTATTATTCAAATTTAGGTTGTATTATTCAAATTTAGGTTGTATTATTCAAAAAAGTTTCAGGTTTTTAAAAAAATGGAATATAACCTGACAATCTATTGTTAAAAAGCAGTGAAGTTGTATTATTCAAATTTAGGTTGTATTATTCAAATTTAGGTTGTATTATTCAAATTTAGGTTGTATTATTCAAATTTAGGTTGTATTATTCAAATTTAGGTTGTATTATTCAAATTTAGGTTGTATTATTCAAATTTAGGTTGTATTATTCAAATTTAGGTTGTATTATTCAAATTTAGGTTGTATTATTCAAAAAAGTTTCAGGTTTTTAAAAAAATAGAATATAACCTGACAATCTATTGTTAAAAAGCAGTGAAGTTGTATTATTCAAATTTAGGTTGTATTATTCAAATTTAAGTTGTATTATTCAAAAAAGTTTCAGGTTTTTAAAAAAATGGAATATAACCTGACAATCTATTGTTAAAAAGCAGTGAAGTTGTATTATTCAAATTTAGGTTGTATTATTCAAAAAAGTTTCAGGTTAGTAGTATATAGTGGACAAATATATCATAAATTTCATTTTTGATATATTTGTCTACTATTCATTTCTACCAAATATATTTTAAGACAATGGGAAAATGTGTATTAATTCAAACCTTTTCCATGTATTATTCTGTCAAAAATTTTCGACGACACAAAAATTCTTTACAATCTTTTCAATAGGTTTAGGGGGGTTTTAAAAATTAAACCATCGTTGCGTAACTTGCCAGATCGGACGGGTGGGCACATTTACACATCAGTACGGAGGTATTCAAACGATTGTTGAAATTGTATAAGATAATCGTAATTCTAAGCAAATTATAAGAGCACAAAGAGTACAAAAGTTTTTAAATACAAACATTTTAGTACAAAAATTTTTAACCAATTATAGTAAAAATATTTTTACGGAAAAAATAAATTAAAGTTAAAAACTGTTTAATAATTGCTAACGTTGTTACAAGGAATTAGGGAATAGGTATTAATCTACGGCCTAAGTATAATTTTAGCTTCGTTACCCCGATAATAAGGGATTTGGTAGCTACAACAATATCATAGCAAGTTTCTTTAACAAATACCCATGTGGTATCGAATATATTTGGTTTATAATATACAACTGAAAAAGTAGGTTTGTATATTTGTTTCCACTCCTTTTCGTTCTCATCGTACTCAAACCAAACATGACCACCAGGTTTTAAGGTTGTAAAATTTGAATGAGGAGTTAAGGCAGGGCGTAAAGCATGCTCAAAAGTTTGTGGTTTGGGAGTTTTTCGAAAAAAAGATATTTTATTCTCTTCATTCTTTATTATTTTATCTTCACAATAAACCAATTCTACTATTGCAACAAAAATTAATATAAAAAGCATTTTTCATATTATGAAAAAATTGTGAATGATCATTTATATAGTCTTCATAAATTCCTATTCATTTTTGTTCTTCTACATTAACAAAGTCCAAACATTCCAGAGGATAAAAATATTGATGCTGTCCTCCGCCAACAACGCAAACAAGAGGCAGCTGTGGATAAACAAGGTCTATGTGATGTCGAACATAGAAATATTGCCTGATTGTCACACGTAAATATCCTCGTAATGCAAAAAGCCGATCAGCTCCCATCTTTGTCAATTTACTTGGATATATTTCGAACTGAATATGTCTTAAATGATTTGTTACTATAGCCTTCTTTCCCGGCTTCATATTATTGTCTGAAAATGTTTTTTGACCAATTCCATTGACGGCAACATCTTCATTTGTCATAGTAGTCAGAGTTTGAAGGAATTGAATATTTTCGTTGTATTTTTTACGCATTTCCCTGTGAAGTGATTCTGGTGCACACCCTCCATTAAATTTACAAAGTAATTGAATAAGAGAACTCGATTTGACGCGTGGAGATCTAGAAGATATTTCGGTAGACTCTCTCAATTCTGACATGTTGTTACTAGTACGAATGTTCATAACTCCCTTTTTGCCTTTAGCGTTTAATTTGGTGTATTGGCTTATATACTAAGAGGGCCTTTTGCAAATCGAATACTAGGGATGTCACCGTTACCATTTCTTCTCAAATTTACATGCGCTCTGAATACAACGGCTAATACAAATATCAATCCTAAATCAAGAACATATGCAATCATGAGCAGAATATCCTTGTTTGGATTTGCTGAAGAGGAAGGACCGATTGAAAGCGCATGAGCTTCATCAATAATAAAACAGGCATTCACATTTGGAGTGTATGGGCCGTGAACAGGATAAAGTATATTACTATCATTTTGTTTAAAAGCCAACGTAAGACTGATTAAGGAAATTAGATATAGAGTAAATTTCATTTTTCTTATATTATCACGAATATTATTATTCTTATATACTAGGTAGCAATGCTAATCTTTGAACAAATTTCTTTATAACTGCATCACGACTTTCTGAAGGTATTGAGTGCATTTTCCTAAGTGTGGAAGATAAACTACTTCCTTGCTTTGAACGGCTCACAAGGAAATAAATGCAATAATGCCCACATGTATCAGATAAAGGAGATTGAATAGAATAACGGCTTTGTTTAACAATTTTAAACCGATTTAGCATAGATTGGCGCATGTCGCAGTTAGGAGGGTCTCCGAGTGAGTCAAAGTATTCCAACGTGTTTTTTCTATCTGAATAACAAGCAATCCAGTGTTCACCGACCGTTCCTTTCTTCATAGTGTTTGCAATAAAGCAAAAAGGGCTATTCCATTCTATATTTGGAATATTATTAGATGAAAAGACACCCAAAAATTTATTCTCAAGTGGTTTGTAGCGGCTTAATATAGTTTCAATTTGCAGAGAATTCATCTTACACAGATCCATCGGTACTTAACACGCGATCTGCATTTATGGACAGAACCGAATCGAACTCGCCCATAATGATCATTTCATAACCCTCGTCTTTGATTGGCTGATTAAAAATACACCTGATAGTTGTTGTTCCTTGCCTGATTAATTCTAGTCCGTTCGTGTCCTCTAGTGTAGAAGTCATTGGTATAACGAAGAAACATGAGGATTTTGAAAATTCTCTCATACTGATATCGAGAGTTCTTTGGTCAGTGTTTGGCCAATTATCGAGGTCCATACCCACAAACATATCAACATAAGCGCGAACGAAGTTATTATCAGCAAAATCAAAATCATACGAAACAGCAGGAAATTGGAATCCACCAAATTCTGCAGAGACAGAACGCAAGTTTGCGTGCTCAAAAGTGAAAGGCGATAAAGCACTATTTCCCGTGAATGCGGGAGAGCTTACAAAACAGATTATTAAGCGTCTCGGACAAGTACTTGTGAACGCCGCATGAGTAATTTCTTGACGGCCTTTTCCCAGGAAAACGCTACGGATATCAATTTTTCTATAAGCATACTTTGCAGGTGTCTGTTCTAGATGTCTAGCAATAGCATTATTTAAAGACATACTCAAATCAACTTGTTTTATTAAAATTCTCATGTCGTGAAGTCTAAGTCGGTACTTATGAGTGTTTTCTACTAATGCGGCAGTGCTGCGGAATTTTGGAGTATGAATAAGAAATTCATCGGAATTTCTGTAAATGGTCCAGATCACGTCACTTTGTGGAATTAAAAGCTGGTTCTGTCTAGCCAAGTCATAATCTAAATGTGAAAACATTCTACATAATTTACCTTTGGCAAAACGAGAAACTCGAGATTTAAAGCCAGAGCCCTCGAAATCATCCTTATCCACTGCGTCTTTATAATAAAGCGCAGCTTCATATAGGCCCTTACTTACTTCTTTATCGGCGCCAAGTTCATGCAGAAGTATACATCGGTATGCATAGTGGATGCCAGAATCATAGCACTGAACCCCATTAATTGAAAGTGTAAGACGACGAATCCATGTAAGACCTAAATATTGAGCAACCCCTGTAAATTTATCACCTTTTAAATCGGGAGCTTCACCGTCGGTTATAGGAACCCACTCCCCACTCGTTGTATCTTTTCTTTCAAGAGATAAAACCAAGCTTAAAAAAGTTTTGCTCAAATCAAGATAGAGCGAATCGCCAAAATAGCGAAAAACAAAGGGTCCCGCAGATTGATTGAGAGCATTAAGAGGGAGTATTTCTTTGTATGCCGAACGTTGAATACCAACATTTGTAGAGGGTATAGAAAAGAATGTCAGACGATTATCAACCCCTTCGGAACTATCTTTATCAATTTTCTTTAATGTGGTCATTTTTTACTATGAAAAAATTAGTAATTATGCTATACTTATATACTCAGAAATTGTCTAAACTAAGTTGATCCCTATAGCGGCGTCCTTTTTTCTCTATTTTTTCTGTAATAAGTTTTGGCTTACGTTTCCTTTTACCTTTTCCGCATTGCTGGAGCTTTTTCCCAACTTTTTGAAGGCCTTCGCTACCATGCTGCTTCAAGGCATCACTAACGGATCGACCTTGTGAAACATCTTCAAGCACATTTTTTCCAACATTAACTGCCTCTTGTCCTGCACTAGTAGCTAAATTTTTAACTATTGGCATTAGAAAACGCCCTACAGTACTGAGCACTCCAAAACCTCGTTGATACCTTGTTCCCTGAAAATATCGACTTTCATCTGATATGTCGGTTTTTGCCCCACCATCTTGAGCTGCTAGAAAAGGACCCCAGTCTATTTTATCTAGATCTACAGGTACATGTGTCATTTTTAAAACAGAGAGCGTTGAAAATGTAGTGTTATTATACAGGTTCCCCAATGGAATTTTACAAGTTTTCCTGCTAGGGTACGAATTTCAATAGTAATGTCTGGATGACGTTTACCTAATATACGATGTTGATGTTCGGTCATATATACTTCGGAAATACTATCGCCAGGCTTACCAGTTAAATTCACGACACGTAATAGGGGAGCAGTTACGTTTCCAATTATACTATTTTCAACAAGCCTTGGCGCATAAACCAAAAATTGTCGAACACCCCCAGATATATCAGGCATATACTTTGCCACTTGTCCACTATGAACTTTCTCAGAATCAAAACCAAGAGTATATGCTAATTGACGACTTATTTGAATATATTGTACGTTTCCTTGTAAGAAGACATGGAACCTCTTATGCAATCTATCAAAGTGTACTGAAACCCATTGATATTTTGGATCGGCTAGTTGTATATTGGAAAAGCTAAGAAGCATTTTTAGATATTCAGGAGGATAGCCATATTTAGCAAAATGCATTTTCTTTACATTAGGATCCGAATCATCAACTCTTATTGTTAACTTTTCTTTGTGGGGTTCTTTTTCCTCAGTTTCATGACGTGGAAGCTCTTTATGTTTCGTTTTGTCTTCGCTTGACATACCGCCAAGTCCAAAGAAGCTTTTCCATGAGGAAGGACGGTGAGGAGGCTCTCCAATTAACATTTCAGGACGTGGAAGAGAAGGCCGCTCCTCTGTATGAATTATTTCATCTACTTTAGGCTGCACAATATTTTCAAGTAAATTTGCGGTTGATGGTGGAATACTTACAGGGTCTTCATCTGCTAATGGAGGTGCCCATTGCTCATCCGTATCGTAAAGCGGTTGTGATTCCTGCGGAGGCTCTTCTCTTGTATCATCTTCTTCAGTATCTTCTATTGTTTCTTCATGTACCTCATTACTTTCTTCAGGTAATGGAGCTTCCCATTGCTCTTCGTCATCATCGGTTATTGTTTGTAATTCATGTTGTGTATCTTCTTGCTTATCTTCTTCCGCAGTACCTTCTTCGATAATCGTTGGTTCTTCGTTCGCCTCAATATTTTCTTCATTTTCTTCTGGTAATGGAGATGTCCATTGCTCTTTGTCTTCACCGGTTAGAGCTTCATTATTATCATGCTCCTCAATATTTTCCTCGATATTTTCTTCTGGTAATTTTTCATTTTCATCTTCAATATTTGAAGATACTGGAAATAACGAAGCATCTTCTTTCGCAAGTTCTACGTCAACTTTACCAATAATTTCTTCTGATAAACGTTTTTGCCCTGCAACAGCTTCTTCAACCTGACTAGCTGCTTCCTTTACCTTACGTTCTGCGGCCTTAGCACGATCTGCAGCCTTTCGTGCTTCTGAAACATCACCGCGGGTTTCTGCAGCTTTAGTCTCTAGTTGTGCTTCCGAAGCTCTTTTTCCATACTCTAAACATTCCTGTGTCCATTTATCAATTGAAATTTTACGATTAGTTAACAATATTAACTGAGATTTAACCCATTCAATAATATTTTCAGGTGTTTTTCTTAAGTGTACAGTTTCGCCCGTTTCTTTTAATGTAATCACACTATCTTTAAGCGCATACTTAAAGCGCGCATTCTGCCAATATTTTTCACCAAGTTCCATATTTATTTGTGCTTGCTCTGCCAACTCGACACTATTTCTCCATGCTCTTGTAGCTGCACGAACGGCCATTTCCATTAAAACTTTTTGATCATCAGTTAATAATGGCTTTTCATCCGTTTCCTCTACATACGAAAGGGGAGTTATTTTCCCATCTAAAGGAGTTTTGTCATTAGCTTCAAAATGTTTTTCTTCAGGTGTTGTCACTGGAGTCTCAGGAGTAGGAGAAGTTTCGATTACAGGGCTTGTCGCAGGAGTGGGCGGAGCTTCGATTATTGGCATTGTCACCGGAGTGGGCGGAGCTTCGATTATTGGACTTGTCACAGGAGGGGGCGGAGCTTCGATTATTGGCCTTGTCACTGGAGTCTCAGGAGTGGGAAATGACTCAACTGGAGGCTCAGGATTGAGCGTAGCGTCAATTATAGGTCTAGTCACTTCTGTAGCAGGAGTTTCTTCAATTTCATTAGAATTTTCTTGATCATTTTCAACAAAACTTTCTTCTACAGAATCTTTTGTTTCTGATTGTTGAATAGACTCAGGCACGAATGGAGAATTGGACATGAAGCTTTTAATTGCATTCATTATTAGATCTTTCTGATCAGTTTGTGGCTCTAATCTAACCGTCTCAACAGAGCTTCCCGCAACCGTAGATACATTTGGAAGTTTTGCGCCCTTAATTTCCGTATTTAAATATTTTATAAATTTATAAGCATGGTCCTTTGGCATATCAAAATAATCTTCCTTTTCCAATTGTTGAGTGATAGTCACTAGAGAGAAATCAACCTGCGGATTCTCAAGCTCATCCTCTGTTTGTGGAGTTGATTCAGGGGTTATTTCTTGACTATTGACAGATACAACTTTCTCTTCAGCTTGATCGTCCCTCGAAGGATTCATAAATTCTGTAATAGCCTGTTTGATTCGATCCATCTGATCGGTATACGGACGAAACCGAACCCTTTCTATACCGTCAACTGCAAGAGGGGCAGGGCGAATAGGAGGTAATCGAATTCCTTTTTTGCCTAAAAATTTCATAAAATTAAATGAGGTTTGCTTTTGCATATCGAAATAGCCATTCTTAGCCAATTGCTCCGTAGGTTCTAATTGAATAATAGTTTGCTGAATAAATTTATCAATAACTTTTAAGTAAAGAGATTTTTGATTTGCAGGAGGCAAAAGACGAATATTTTTTCCTCCTTCTCCTGGACTCAAATTTGTAAGTTTTGGACTAATTGCCTCATCTTCTTCAGATAATAGCTTGATAAATTTATTTAGTTCATTCGTATAAAGATCGAAATAACCATGTTTATCATACTGTTCTTTTATAGATTCGACAGCGCGCCTTTTACGAAAATTCCCATAAATTCTTTTTTTATTCTCTTCAAGCCTCTGTTCCTCACGCTCACGATCCAATTCCTTTTTCCATACATCAAGCAAAACTGCATTAATAGCCTCTTCTAATGCCTCTTCTGAGGCAAAGGACAAATCTGGTATCTCGATACGAATTGGTAAAAGTTCATTTCCGTATCTTCGAAAAACGGTTATTGATTCTTGTTCTTCGGAATCTCCGGCCAATGAAAAAGAAAACGGATATATAATATTAGATAGTGCAACAGTCCAACTTGAATCCAATTCAAGAGTATCAGGCATTCGAACAGTAAATTTAGAAGTGGTATTTCCTTCAACCCCTCCTGTATTTGAGGGCAATATTACATAAAAGGAGTCCATATTTATCTTCTAACAATATCGCTATCGTTAACCCAACTATTAAAATTATCGTTATATCCTATCCAACGAACAAAATGTTGTTTAATCCCTGCACGTGTACGTGTTTTTAATATTTCAGCAATACGGTGAGTTGTATCTTCTTGTGTGGGTACCAATTCTTCTCTATAAAATATCCCTTCAATTAAATTTCCTTCAAAATCTTTTAACTTATATGTAATGGGAGATCTATTGTCGTTTTTAATATGTACGCGAAACAATTCGTCAGTGTAGTTGGGTAAATATCCCTTTTCAAATTTACCTTTTTCTTTAGTGATACGAACAATTTGTCCTGGCTCAAGTATTGAACTTGTTTTAGTATTTTGTATATTTTTAGGATCCTTATATAGTCTGTTAAAAAGTTCCCCAGCATTCTTAAACGTAACAGAATTTGGAGTTACACCTGTGGTTTGATTAATACTTGCATTTATTCCTGAAACAATTTTTTGAATAACATCAATCCAACGCAAGGTGTTCTTTTCGCTAAAGTATCTGTACAATCGCTCTTTGATAGTACGGTTGGCCCTTTCTGCCATAGATGCATGCACATCTGGACTATAAACTACTCGCTTATCTATGTCCTTCTTTTTAAAATATTCTTTCATTCGTTTCGCCTCAAATTCTAAACCTCGATCCGTATATAATTTATGTGGAAGTATCCCTTTTGAAAGTTTAAAAATATTTTCGAACGCATCAATCATATCCTCAGAACTCTTAGATTTGGCAGGCACAGCATAAAGTTTTCTACTTAGTACATCAATACAAACCAAAAGGTATTTGTACCCATCATTATATTTAGCTAACTGATCAAAGATTGCCAAATCCGCTTGCCAATCTGTGTGTAAACCGCTTGGTCTAGTGGCCATTCTAGGAAACTTTTTTCTTAGAGGCCTATGCATTGTGTACACTCTTTGCTTATGAAGAAAATCATAAACATATTGAAATTTTATTTTCGGGTATTTACGACGCGCTTCTTCATAGACCCGATTTATTCCAGCATAGGAGGCGGGTGAATTAAGTGAATAATATATTTTTTCTAAGAAGGTATCTAAAGCTTTTCCCATATTTGTGGAATAAATTTATTTTTTCGCCGTATTAATCCAGGCGAATTTATAGGCAAGACTTTAACTAAAATTCTTTTTCTTCTTTTCCCGGTACCTGTTTGATTATCGGTTGAACTTTCCTCCGTACTACTTTCTCCACGCGTCTCTTTAATCATTTCTTTCACTAATGGGTCCTTAGAAAGACGATTAAAAAGGAAACTAAAACCTTTTGGGGGCGATGATGTCTCACCCTTTACATATTCGAGAACATCCGTGAAATTGCTATTCTTTACAAGTCTTCCAGGGACATTAGATTCAAAACTCCCGTTCTTACTTATTCTGAATTTTTCTGCGTTATCTTTTACATAATTATCCAATTCTGTGGAATAGCGTGTCGCAATAATACCCTTGAATTTGAAAAAAGGAATTGCACTTTTTCTTTTTGCTCGCGGCAACTTAGGAGTCACTTCTGATTCAGACGGATATTCGGAAGTAGAATTCTGTTGAATTTTGCTGGGAACTAACTTTGGTTTTGGCGTATTAGCGATGTTTTCCTGCAAGTACGGTGCAACTTCTGGAGAAGGTTTTCCTTCATCGATTGTAACTTTTTGTGGGCGATTTTCCAACGCATTTTTGAGCTGACGCCTCCTCTTATATAACCAATTATATTTCTTTGCTTTTAAATCTTCAGAAATTTTTGGGTTATCGAGGGTTTTCATAATATCTACATCTGTTTGAGCTTTCTCTTTTTGTAGAAAGTCCCCACCTTTGATCATGTCTAGAAGCGTAAGATATTCGCTCTCAGGCACCATAATCATTTTCTTTGTATGTTTCATTCTTGAGAGAATTTATGAATAATGTGTTCAGCTAAAGCTCCCAAGACGGGTACAAGTATTGCTGCTAAAGCGGCACTGCCTCCTTGTTGGATTCGATTTCTAGCACTTTTTTCAGTACGCGTCCGAGCGATTGCTCTGTAAAAGTCAGCAAATTGCGCTAATTTCTTGCGCTGTCTCCTACTTAGTGTAAAATTATTCTTTAGAATATTAGCACAAATTTCAACAATAGCTAAAATTTGATCTGCGCTTGCTGAAAGAATAAGAGCGTTTTTCTTTTTATCTGAAGTAGTTTTTGATAATTGTTGAAGAAACTCAAAATTATCCTTAATGTATGGGCTATAGTTATACGTCGGCATTTTTATTTGTAACATTATTGAGCACTTATATATTACATAGGCAGATATATAGTAGTTTTTTCCCCAGGAAAAATTTTTGTAGATAATCGCATATTTTCATCAGTACTAGGATGCATGTTTATTAATAGATAAGAAAAACGTTCCGATGTTGCATCTCGATAGGCTTCAAGAAAATAATTAAGCATTTTTGGGAAAAGCTGCGAGCCGAGTGTCCGTACTTGCAGAAGGCCTTGAGGGTTTTTTGTTAAAAGAATGTAATGGGCATTTGCTCTTGCAGTCTTTATATCGCGTCCATATAGGGATTGAGTTACAAAAATCACACTTACTCCCCAATTATGTGAACCGCGAGTAAAAAGTAAATCTAGAAAATCATTTGGAATATTAAGCATTAAGTCATCTAGAACTAAAAGCTGATGCTGCTTAATTAGTTCAGATTCAGGAACCCCATTATAAGTAGTGATTCCCATCTCCTTGAGCTTAAAAACAGTTTCATTCATTTCTCCAAAACAATATAATATTTTTGAAGGAGAAGGATCAATAAGTTGGTCAGAATGTTCAAGAAATTTTAATAGCCATTGAGTTTTGCCACTTCCTGTGGCACCCGAAATTATCATAGTGAAAGGAGCTGTGAACATTTTTTTATTTAACAATAAATTCTTGAAATTATTTATATAGGACCTTAAATATGTATCAAAAAGCAATTATTCAAAACGTGGTATCTACAGCTAGTCTACTTGAAGGTGACAACAAATTAAATCTTAATAATCTTGCAGCTAATATTCCTAATGCTAAATATCGTCCTGAGCGCTTTTCTGCACTAACATTTAAGATTAAAGAACCAATAACTGCTACAGCACTACTTTTTGCAAATGGAAGAATAGTTTGTGTGGGAACAAAATCATCAAAGGATTCTAAAATCGCAATTCACCATTTTGTTAAAATAATTTCCGCAGCAGCCGAGTTATTCATAAATATGCACAATTTTAGAATTCAGAATATAGTTTCTTCGTTTACCTTTGGAGGATTCATAAATATGCCAGGTATCTTAATTATCTTGTAAAAAATAATTTTTAGCCTTGTATGATTCGATGCGGTTCGCCCCACCCTCATGGTTGGCTAGGCACATATCTTACAATCCTGAATTTTTTCCGGGGATGTGTCTAAGACTCAAGGAATCGCACACCGTTGTTATCATATTCGCAACCGGAAAATGCATTATTACTGGAGCACAATCAGAAGAAGAAATTTATTTAACTCAAAATAATATTTACAATTCGCTATCGATGTTTTTGAAAAAATAAATTAAAAAATACTTTTATTAATTTCGGTTCGTAATTCCATCAATAGTTCACCAAGTTTGTTCTCGCCCTCCCAAATACTTGGATCATTCAGACACGGGCTTTTATGGCTCAATCCATTACTCCAATGTAAATTTGATGTAGAGGCGTGTGTAATGAGTCCGTCTCCAGTTGCACGTAACTGATTGAAGAGTTGTACATTCTGAGTAAATTTGGCCCATAAGCCTGTATACATTACCTAGAATTGTTATTTAATGCCTTGCATAAAGTTAATCCTTGCCTTATCTTTAACTGTATCCCATTCATTTCTATTATAATTTTTCACACGCGTTCCAATTCGTCTTATAGCAAATGGATTAGTGAGCATAAGCACTTCAGCAGCAAGTTCCAAATCCACAAAAAATCTAGCCTTTTGCCAGATGAAATACTGCTCAATGGAAGTGAATGTACGCCCAAGCAAAGTAAATGTTGTTTTAAATCGGTTGTCGAATCCACATCTGGGGGAATTGAAAATAAATATATTTTGATTTTGTGTCCCAATAATTTCTTCATGTAAAAAATATTTATCCTCAGAGAGGATTTTCTTTTTACCTTCCTATTTAATTTATAGGGAAAATATCTCAGATTAATTATTCAACAGAATAATTAATCTAGATAAATAAACAAATAAATTTAACACAAATACAAAAAAATCTTTATCTTCAATCAAAAAATATTCACACAGAATATTATAAAAAATGAATATCTCAAAAAGACATTGAAAAGTGAAATTTCTGCCTACTTTATATAGGCAAAAATTTCTATAATAAAAATGATGCAATGTAAAGTACATTGCAAAAAAGTACATAAAAAATTGTCAAAAAAGGAAAAGTGACTCACTGAGTCACCGCACAAAAATAAATAAAATTCCACAAAAATATAAAAAATATTAAAAATCTTTAAATCTTTAATTCTTCAATCTCGTCATCGACACTTCAGGGGGCAAAGAATTTTGTTCATGTTTTAAATTAAGGCGCTCCAGCATAAGTGAAGTTGTTTCTTAAATTATTTATTTATAAATTTTCGATTAAAATGTTTACCAATATTCACGTCACTGATCATATTGGTTTCTGAAAACTTAAAATATGCATTAATAATTAAAAGAGATAATTGTATTAAACAGTTTTATTTAAAAAATTTTCTAAAAAATTTTATTCTTGAACAATATAATTTAAATTAATTTCCAATTTGTCCCTCTATTTCAACATAGTCCAAACACTCGATCGGGTAAAAGTATTCATGCTTTCCACCACCTGCAACACACACAAGCGGTAGATGAGGATAAACAAGATTAATGTAGTGTCGAACATAATAAAATTGTCTAAAAATATAATATAATAGAATAAAGAAAATACCGAATGGTTATGGATAAATATCCTTGAAGAGCAAATGTTCGATCAGCCCCCATATTTGTAAAATTTTTAGGATACACTTCAACAAAACGGTTTTTAAGATGGTTTGTTACTAAAAATCTCTTTCCAGGAATCATACTGCTTTCGTTGAATTCCTTCTGTCCAATTCGTGATTTCATGACATCTTCACTAGAAATGCTTGTAAGTGTTTTAATAAATTGTAAATTTTCGTTGTAATTATTTCTTATTTCACAATTAAGCATTTCTGGTACACATCCTCCATTGAACTCGCAGAGTAGGTTGATAAGTGGTGTAGTCTTTATGCTGTTAGAATTTATTGATAATTTTTCTAACATCCTTGAAGCGAGTTCTTAATGTTTCAATATAAAATATAAATCAAAAACAAATTACCTAAATTATTAGCCATTTGAATAATCAATAAAAATAAATCTATAATTAGCCTTTAATTGGATTTTTAAATTTAAAAAATATTTTGTACTAAACAACAATTTAAAGAAAATATCTAATTAAAATTTATTCAAAATATTTTATTCGGTTGGATCAATAAGCGGTTCGCCTCGGTATCCATATGGATAACAATCAAAATTGCCATCAACTATTCCTTTATCGTAGATTGGCGTATATCGTCTAAATTTTGAAATTGATAATAATTAAGAATAGCTAATACCTAGTTTGTGATCTGCTTGTAACCTCCCCTCTACGCCAGCTCGGCTGAAAATGGGTTCTTTCCAAAATGACAGATTCTTGTTCCTCACCATAGGCTTCGACCATTTTCTAAAATATTCTTTAAATTTAGAAACGTTTGAAAAATAACCTTGAATTGTTTAAAGTCAAGAGGAGAATCAACTTTGTCCCAGCAACCTCGGCATTTGACAATAAATTTAATTTCACCACTATTTTTGTTCTTCATTTTCATCGCATACTGAAAATTTACAATTGTTAAAATATACTTATTTTTATACCTGCTTGCATCCTCCAGTATAGAATGCAATAATGTTCCATTCACCATACTCACGATCCATCATACCAAGCATCTCACCCACACGGAAAGGAGGCGTTTGTCCACGTCGGTGCAAATAAAAACAGCTATCCGTGTCAGTGTAAAGAAGTTTACATCCATTTTCTTTAACTATTTTTTCCATATAGTCATAAAGCATTATTCTGGCTGTTGCGGTTGTTATCAATGCTATTGCAATATTATATTTGTCATGTGGACGTACAAATTCTCGTCGATGCCGATATGGAACGGAAAAAAGATTTGGAGCTAGCATTTCTACGGCTCCTAGTTCAAGCTTTGGATCATTGAGAACAGTGTGTAATTCCACGGGAGAGCTCGTTATACAATCCTAAAAATTTTGAATGACAGATTTCTAAGAAAAATACCTGAGACAGGTTACACCGCAACGCCCATCGCCCCCACCTAAATTAAAAAATTTTAACAATATTTAAATATTTTCACATTGAATTGTTGCAAGTCTTTGCAAGGTAACGCATGCCTTCGTTTCTTTCAATTCGTGTTGGATCTAAATGTATTCCATATTCACTTTGGTTTCGTTCTATGAATTCTTTTTTCCTTTGTTCCTCGAGTTCAGGATTTCCAGGGACACATACACTACTTGGCCATCCACTCGCCTGTATTGTCTTTATTAGGCCATAAAATAATAGTTACTTCAATTTTTAGCCGCATCATATCCTGAACATAGGGCCTCAGCAAGGTGTCTGACCACTCTTCCCAATGATAAATGCTGTATACTTTAGTAACCCGATATCCTTTCGTCAAAGCAAGTTCAAGTTCTACTGAACATGTTGTACTAACAAATCCTCGTTGTTCATCAGTGTGCGGACACCATTTGTGACCAATTTCTTTGTTATATTTACTATTTGCACGTACTGCCACACCTGGAGATATTTCCACTGCACAGCGATGACATAGATGAAAGATCTGTTTATAAATTAAATAAAAAACTGTGAGAAAATTTTTACCAATTTTCCGTGAATGCGTTCTGGAATAACTGGAAGATATAAGTCATCTGGAGGAATTATGAAAAGTTTGAACAGCCCTCTATATGGATGTAAATCTTCAGGCGTAGTCCAATTCACATCCTTATTTAATTCCAAAATATTCGGATGGCCTAAGATAAATAATAATTTATTTAATGATTAAAATTCACCTATCGGATAAAATGCATAAAAATTTACTGCAGGATAAAGACTAACGACATCAAAACATGAAATTTCAAATTCATCTGATCCTTCTAAATCACATTTTAGAGCTAAAGGGCCCGTTCTTCCTCCCTTAATTTAAAATTAAATACTAAATTTCAACTAGTTCATACATGAAAAGCATCTCTAGGATATAGCGGGCCAATATCTGGCAATGTATCGAAAAACAGAGACATTTCTGGATCCTCATCAAGTTCTTTCATAACTTCACATTCCCATACGGCAGTAGTCCAAATTCCCTCTTTTTCCAATAATCGAACACGTTCATAAAGTTTATCTTTATTATATAGTGCCGTCTTTCCATTTAAACAAACTTCATGCGGGCGATATAAACTAAAAGCTAACAATTTGGAATAAAAATTTAATTACCATTCATGCCCGTGCCATGCACATCCCAAAAATTCAATAGCTTGGTCTACTCCTCCAATGTTTTTAATATACCCATCGAGACGCAAAATACTTCCATCAGAAACGCGCACCCTTTTTTCTCCTTCTGGACTTTCTTGATGTTGAACTTGAAGACCTGTCTTGTGTGCAAGCCAGCGTAGAAATTTTAAAGCAATTGCTGATTGATTCGAGTCTCTATGATAGCCATTATCGGGGATAATGCCCATTTGATTTTCTTTCAAATAGTTTATACCTTAAATTTTTTATTACCTTGTAGGTTTTAAGAGCTTACAAAAATGACGAATACACGCGCTGGCAAGTGTCATAGAATTTACAAGTACGTCGTCTCGCTTGGAGTGTTCAGTAGCTAGTTCAAAGAAAAGTCGCTGAAGTTTTACAAGTCCATGAGCAAGAATACGCACATCTTGTTCACAGTATTCGACTATTTGCTCACGAAGACAAAATGGTTCGTTCTTATTACTGTTATACCATTCTTCAAACATTTTTCTCCTTTCTTTTCCCATTGAATCTGGGTAATAATAATGTTGTTCAGGTAATCCATCAAGCCGAACATTCATATTCTTATTAAAATTCCACCCGTGAGGGAAAAATGACTTGCCACCTTCGGTAATTTCAAGAGCTAGGGCTTTGGGGAGCTGTTCCAGCTTAAGCATCGTCCAATTGAACGAGTCACGAAACGAAATATAAGGAAATCGTCTTCTTTGTCTTTTAATCAGAACCTCGTATAGTTTGTTCCCAGTTCTCGTAATTTTTGGCTCAATTCCAAAATGTTTAATCAATTCGCCTAATAGTAGATGCATATCATATCGACTAAATTGGTTGTTTGGAATAATAAAGCCAATGTAATTAAACAAACCCTCCATAATGAGAGATAGCATATGTTTTTCCTGATCGCTCATTCCCCAATCCGTTAATCAACCATTCCAAAAATTCGCGCAAGGGATTTAAAAAATCTGCGGATGTCCAAGTTCGCATTCTAGGCATGTTAATGCCGCAAGTTTTGCAATTATCCGTTGTGTCTTTTTTCCAATTATCCTTGCTTATGCATAGAGCACACATTATCAACGCCTTATTTTGAAATAGTTTTAGAACTTATGGAAAAATTACCGAAACGCAATTAACATGATGTAGTTGATAATTTTCATCATCTATCACCCCATTCTGTGGCAATAGTCTGGCACTTTGAAGATCATCCCATTCATTTTTGTTTTTTACCGGTGATATTAGTTCGCATTCAAAATCAAATACTACCTAAATAACAGTTTTTTCCAAAATAGAATATAAATACCAATATGTAGTTTTGTTTATTTTTCGGGATTATTGGTTGCACATAGCAATTTTCATCACGTTTGTGGTATGAATGACAGAGAGAACAAAAATGAACGTAACAAACATGTCCATCGCCTTTGGTAGAACTGCTTGAAGATTCCTTTCCTGATTCTTGAGAATCTATTTCATTCACTCGCTTTTTTACACTAAAGATTTTCCCGCATTTCTCACACCTATAACAAATTTTGTCAGTGAAAATTTTGAATAATACCTTTTAAAGATTGCAGATTCCCTTGTCCATATGCCTCTGGAAACACTCAGGATTTATAAATATATTCGCACATTGTGAACATTTTTTTGAATATCCATTAATTTCTAAGCATGGGAAACCAAATCCCATCCCACAACAGCGCGGACATTTGGCAACACATGTCTGTCGATGCACTTTTTTGTCGTGAAAAGGTGCCTCACAATCAAGACAATAATAAGAACCAAAAAGCGCATTCACGTTTCTAATCCCATAATAATGTCCTTCTTTCAAAAATAAAGCAATCTCGTGTTCAGCTCTTTTTTGTCCTTTCCATATAGGCCGCATCCTTCCGTGATCTCCGAATACTGAAATTCTATATTTGCTGGGGAAAAGGATGTCTAATAATTGTTGAATCATTGGAACATGTTCTTCAACTGTATATTCTTTTGCATTGCTGGGGTAACGGATTCTGTTCTTTAACATTTGTTGAATCATTTCCTTAATCAAAACTTCGCGCTTGATTTTCGAATTTTTGGTTTGACCGTTTACTAGCCGGTGGAATTTAACTTTGTCATATGCGGAATTAGTCATATTCACGTGTTGAATTTTAAGCTGTACAGCAAGTATGAGACAGTGAACATTGGCAGGTGGAGTGAGATTTTCGTTGTTTACCTTGGGATTTTAATTCATATTAAATCGTTTTTAATTCTATTGTAACTCACAGGTATTAGATTGTTTAAATCAACACCCTGATCAATTTCACGCCTATTTCGACCAGTTCCTCCTTTCTCCCTAATTAATTCCGCTGCCTCTTCGTGTGAAGGCCCCATAACAATCTAGGTAAAATATTTAAATATAAAACATGTTAAATATACTTCAATATGTATTGGTTGACTGTAGAGAGAAGGTTTTCCCATGCGTTTTCCGCTTTGATCAACGGCATCAAATTGCTCCATTACAACTTGAGGAGTATTCTGGGCAAGTCCTCTATATGGTATTTGTATAGGTTTTTCAAGAACAGCACTTCTTATTATGATTGAACAATTTTCAGATTTAGTGCCTGAAGCTTTGTCGGCTTTTGCAATAAAATGGTCGACCAAATCTTCTAATAGTTTATCGCTGCCCTCCGGGGCATCATCAACATTCCTCACTGTGAATACGGTTCTAAAATTTTAAATACAATGAATAAAATCTTTTAATAGACCTGAAAACTCCTATTTTGAATCTCGAGCTTTTTAGGTTTTCGGATACGTCTTCATTATAAAAGTGATCAATGGAATACTCTCCAAAATTTCTTTGAGTCATCTAAAATTCTAAAAATTTTTAGTGATTATTTGAAAAATATTTTTGCGATAATGACGCAACAAATTATTTCAAACAATATTTATTTTTACTTTATCCATTAGAAAATAAGAATTTTTTAACAACTATCGCTTCAGCTTGAATATCCTTTACCATTCTTCTTCTTCTGGTATTTTGTCCGTGGAAGAAAAATAATTCACAGAATCAGGAACAAAACTTTCAGCATTGTTTTGTATTGTACTTGTCGATGTGCCTTCCCCTCCTAAGTCCGTTGTCTCAATATTAAGTTGAGATTCCAAACGTTTAGTTATGTCGTTCATAATTATAACAGGAGAGTTTTCTGAAAATATGAGTACTTTTAGAGCTAAAAAGCATTAAATACCTCTCTTCTTTTTTGAAGGTATATAGCGACTGTAGCAGCAAACGTCAATTGCCGATTGCAGATCAATTTGCCCCCAATATTTGCTATTCGTATGCCCTAGCGCATAGTACAATTCATTTTTTACGACGTCAACAATGGCCTTTAATAAAATTTTTTAAAATTTTTTCAATAAGAACCTGTCTTCCCATTGCGTGTCTTTCCTTCAAAAAATGCTCATGGATTCTACTTAATGAAATTTGCGGATATCTATTCCGATGATGTTGAATAAATGCGGCGTAAAGATCCGACTTAAGCTGTTTTTCATCATACTCCGCATCGAAAAGTTGCTCAAGTTGTTTAGCAAGACGTCTTCGTTTCTCCTTGAGTTCTTCAAGCGCAATATCTGCTACATGTTGATCCATCTGAAATGTATTGTATAATTTAAAAAATAAACGAAACCTTTTATTTCACAAAAGAGTTGTAAAATTTGAGTAATAGATTTGTAGCTATAAAGAATTCCAAAAATGAATCAGTAAATTAAAAGATAAAATTCGATCAAACGAATGAAAAATAAAATTTCCATTAAAAAATAGGTTTTATTCAACAAAAGTTATAGTTATCAATATTCATTTTTTCTTATTAAAATTGCTAAACATATCAAAAGTTTTCTTTTGGTAGTCCTTATTGATGTCCTTACAGGCCTCGCAAATCTATAAAATTTTAATTAATTTTAAAATTTTTGAACATCTTTCATAAAATGCAGCACATATTTTTCCCCACATTTTTGCAAGAACATATCACTAGCCAAGGACCTCTGAAGACCGATACATCTATCGCACTAAAATTTAAAATAAATCGTAGTTAATATGAAATTTTTACCTGATGCAAGATCCAACAATATTTCAATAAGCTCAATAGTTTATAATCAGTCCCAGAAGCAATATTTTCACCCTTTTGAAAGTATAACACCCCAGAAGCTTAAAATTTTTTCAATGATTTCAATTTTTGTAATTTTCTTACATTTTTCAAAGCTGGACGATTGTTCCTCAGGCTTTATATTCATTTCCTTGTCCCCTTTTAAAAATTTTTAAATTATTTGATAATTATGTAATACCCCAAGAGAGAGCATAAAACATCCCTAGGTTTATATTTTTGTCGAGGTCCTCTGCGCACAATTCGAATGTAAGCGTTAAATTTATAGGACTTCCTGCCTTGTAAAGAAATTTTTGTCGTTTCTTCTGGTTTTCTCGGCAATCGTTGCACTGGTGAATGAAAATTCCTTGACGCGGTTCTTTAAGCACTTGTGCACGCTTAAGTAATCCTTCAGGAACTAATTGTTCAGCGCGTTGTTTACCTAGAAAATATTTGTATAAAAAAATAGCAAACTTACGTTCGATTCGCCTTCGCTTGTATTCCTCTTCATCCTCGCCCAAAGAAATAACATCATTAGGATCTGGATCATCAGACTCGTCCTCTTCCTCATCATAATCCATCATTGCATCAAGAATATCCTTAGTCACTTCTTCCTTTGAATGTTTTACATTTTGACTTTTTGATCGTTTTATAATTGACTAAAAATTTCTAATTTAAATTATTATTAAAACTATACAACCTTAATAACCGCGTCAACGTTGTTTTGTGGAACATTTTCACTTATTTTATTTGACTTGCTTTGTGCCTTCTTTGCGGTCGGGGCTTTGCTCGAAGTGGAAACCGAACTCAAAGTTGAGCTCGATTTTTCAATTGAGCGTCTGCGTCGCGCCTCTGCCGCTTGCTTCTTCTTTTTTTGTTCCAGAATAAAAGCACGCACTTCTTGAATTTCCTCTGCTGTTATCGACACTGAAGTTGTTTTTTTAATCAAAACTATTTAATATTTACCTTCTAATCCCGAACTTTCTTGTGAAGTTCGCAAGTCCTTTTCTTCGCATACATTATCCACAATCATCTCTGTATTAGTGCTTTCATCAATCATAATAGGAGCATCCGCAGTGCCTGTAAATGATAATCCATGTTATTAGTTTAAATAATAATCATGTTTATCATTTACCATTATCGTTTGGAGCATCAACGCTTTTTTCCATCAGAATTTCGTTTTCTTTAAATAAAATTAAAGCTAAAATTGATTAAATTAGGAAAGTTAAACTATTTTTAAATATAATAAATAAAAATGGAATTTATAGTAAAATCAAACACTTGCAAAAAATTTACTTTAAAACTAACTTTAATTACAAAATATTAGAAAATTTTATAAATAAAATTTTTTACTAAATCTCAAACTAAATCACAAAATCTACATTTCAAAATCTAAGCTAAATCTCAAACAATGAAAAATGGAAAAGCAATAACTGATAAACAAAGATAAAAATATCATTAAATTAAAGAGGGTGAGGGTATAGAAGGGAAGGGTATGAGGATATTATAAAATAAAGATGGAGATGTATAGAAGCAGTGAGTAATTAATTTAGAGGGGGAAAGTAAGAGGGTTATTAAATTAATGAGGGGGAACTATAAAGGATGTGAGTATAAGTATTTAAAGAGGGGAAGGTATGGGGATATTTTTAAATGTTGAATGGAAATGCTGAATGATTCCTTAGGTGATTTTGGGGTTCCTTTTATACGGGTCCGCCATGACATATTTTGGCCCCCGAATGATTAATTACTCGCTATGTTTCACAATTTTTTGGTTTATTTATTTATTTTGTTACTAAATTAAGCACACTTTTTGCAATTAATCAAAATTTTGGCAGCTGACACTCCTTAGTTTAAACAATTTTTATTTTTTATGAACATATGTCAAAACATTTGTGCAAGGGCCCATCAATCACTCAAAGTAGATGCTCGATTAAAATATAAACATTTCAGAAATAGTCAAAAAAGTTCCTATATAAATACCCCCACCTTCCCAACTCTCATCAATTATTAATCTTATAGACATATTTCTGCACTAAGGCTTTGTTTTATTATATTTATTATTAGTTGAGAATTATTATGTTTTTGGTGTTATTTTTGGCTTGCGGACAGACTGATTTTTAGTCCTGAGCAGGGTTTCGAATAATCAATGACTTCTTCGGGAAGGGTTTCAGTGCGGGGTTTAAAAACGTTTCCGAAAAGGGTTTACGTTCAAATCTGTAAATGGATTTAGGAGATTAAGATAGAAATCGAGTTTCGTGTTTTTGAAAATTTCTCGGGTCGAGTTTCGAGTTGAAAAAGTCTGGATATAAGGTATCGGTCTAGGTCGGAAAATTTAAATTTACTTTCTTAAACTTTTTTATAAAATTTTACTATGCTTTACTTTAACAATAAATTAAACAAAGCTGCTTACACAGCCATCCATCTGAATCATTTACTGCATGCCAAATTGGTCTTCTTGGTTCTTGACCAAAATTTTGGTCATTTGGCCATGCAACGTCGTTTAAAACAGATTTGTGTAATCTACCAGCAATAATAATCTCGGCCAATCTAATGAATCCGATGAACGGTCAGAATCCACATAAAGGGTCAGAATCCACAATGATTTTAAAACATCTTTAAAATAAAAATATTTAAAAAACCTCTAGACGGTATCAAAAGTATACGATTATGAAACAATAACAATATTGCTCATTTAGGAAATAAAAATCCATCTCGTTGAAACCAATAAAATTATTTTTGTCTTTCGGTTTTAAAAAGCGCCAGAGGAAAGAATAATGTGCAGGATTCCTCAATTTCTTTTTAATTTAAAAAGAAAAATTTTAAGATTAAAAAATACTAAAGCTCAATAAAGCAAGTCTGATGTGCTCAATACCAGGTCTTAGTAAACGCTATCCTTACATTTGTGCATTACAAAGAATAAAAATATGCGCCCCCCCCTCGTTATCGACACCAAAAATTATCTATTAAAATACCATGTCATAAAGAAACGGACAATTCTTCTTCCAGATTTTATTCTTCATTAATTATACATTCGTCCTTTCCCTCATCTGCCTCTGCCTCAGTTGTATTTGATGATGTGACCATTTACTTAATCTCATAAATTAGTCTAAAATTAAAAGCGCGAAAATAAGAGCAATCTTATGGGATCTAATGTCCCTCTTCTCTTTTTATCGCAAAAGTGAAAAAATGTTATACAAAAAATCATCAAAAAATCACAGAAAATATACTCATTCCGTTTTCATTCCTTCAAATTTTATGGTTGCTGAACAGGCTGTGAATGTTGGGAAATTAATTTTAAGATTCAAAAACTTTTCTCTTAAAATTAAACGTGTAAGCGTTGCCTAACGATGATATAAAAATGCCATTGTATTAAAAGAGGCTCTTCAATATAACGAGCATTATCACTTGATGCTAAAGCTTAACGAAATTCAGCTTGTTGTAAACATTCAAGCAAATATAAACATTGAGAGTATTTGAAAGTTCTTAAAATAAAAGATATGAGCTTTGAAAAAGGGAATTTAGCAGATTTTTTTCAAAATTTTTAGGAACTTTCCTAGTGTAACTTTATCAATTTTTGCTCATTCGATCTTACAATTTGTATTCAATTCTTTTACCTATTCATCTACCCGATTAGAATTATTTTGTGGATTAATTGTCAAGGAAAAAGAGAGAAATAACAGAGAAATTTTCAAAAATCCGTCAGGGTCTTAATAGCCCCAAAAAAGATCAAATAACTCTAACGCATAAATCAAAAATTTTCCTCTCAAAAAAGAGTTTCCAAATTTAACCAACAAAAATAAAAAAACCTCGCATATATGGCCATTTAAAATAAAGAAGGTATTTAAGATAGTTCACAAAGTAATCCGCTTTGAAATAAACTTTTTGAGCCAAATCTGAATGATTAAAATCTATAAACGTTTTTTAAATAAATATTAAATTTTACAAAATTATTGTTAGTCAAAACAAAAATTGTTAGCGTTTGTGGGATTCGAACCCTGCAACGTATTGGAGAAATCTAGAAAATTATCCCAATAAACCACAACTAAAAAATTTTCAATTTTATCAAAAACAAAACATTTTGACAAGACAAAATTTTTTAGACCCATAGGTTTGAACACAATTTTCATGAGAATTAACTAGAAAATTATCCCACTACACCAAAGAATTCAGATCCTTAAAAAACTAACAATTTAAGTAAGCGGGATTCGCCAATGCTTAAACAAATTCACATCTGCATTGCTAAAAATAAATTTTAAAGATTAAATAAATAATAATAAATTGAAAATATAAATTTTAAAAATAAATTTTAAAATAATATTTAAAAATATAATATTGAAAAACTAATTTTTAAAAATTAAATCTTACAAATTAAAAAACAAATAAAATTCACATAAATATATTAAATCGCGAAATAAAATTAATATTTAAAAAGAAGAAAATTTAAAGTGAAAAATTGTTAATAAACGAAAATTTTAGGATGATATCATTATTTTTAATTTATAAACTTTAGACGCTATTTAATTTTTCTATTTTTCTAACATTTGTCGTTAGAAAAATAAAAATAAACACATACTATTATCTCTATTATGTGTTCTTTTTTTGCTCTTGCTCACTTAATGACATTTTTAAAACTTTGCGAAAATTATTCTCAAAATGGTCAAAGCCAAAATAGTACACGACAAAAGGGTATACGACAAAAGGACATGCGACAAAAGTGTATTCAGCAAAAGGGTAAACGACAAAAGGGTATACGACAAAAGGGTATACGACAAAAGTGTTACGACAAATGGGTATTCGCCAAAATGGTACATGCCAGAATTTGTTGATAAAATTGTGTTATTTCAAAGTAAACAGTCGATACGAATTTTTGCCTTAAATTCTTGTTCAAATTTGCGTCTACATTTCAAACTACCGTTTATTCATATTTCCATGCATTTAATACTATTTCTTATCTTAAAACATTGTAAGCCTTTTGAATTTTAATTTTTTCATCTAAATCGTTTTTTCTACATGCCAAATCCCTTGTAATCGGAGTAACAAAGCTAACCTTGTACTTAGGACGTAGATTAATACCTATTCCTTTTTAAAGAGTTTAACAATTATTAAACATTTTTATTTTTAAATTTTTGCTCTTATTTGTACCGTTTTTTTATATTAGTTTTTCCGTAAAAATATTTTTTACTATATATTTATTTAATTGCTTTTCTTTAACAATTATGTAAACTTAGTGCTCTTTTAATACATATATTAAAAATTAATCGATCCTCTAATTACGTCCGTACTGATGTGTAAATGTGCCCACCCGTCCGATCTGGCAAGTTACGCAACGATGGTTTAATTTTTAAAACCCCCCTAAACCTATTGAAAAGATTGTAAAGAATTTTTGTGTCGTCGAAAATTTTTGACAGAATAATACATGGAAAAGGTTTGAATTAATACACATTTTCCCATTGTCTTAAAATATATTTGGTAGAAATGAATAGTAGACAAATATATCAAAAATGAAATTTATGATATATTTGTCCACTATATACTACTCAGGTTTTTAAAAAAATGGAATATAACCTGACAATCTATTGTTAAAAAGCAGTGAAGTTGTATTATTCAAATTTAGGTTGTATTATTCAAATTTAGGTTGTATTATTCAAAAAAGTTTCAGGTTTTTAAAAAAATGGAATATAACCTGACAATCTATTGTTAAAAAGCAGTGAAGTTGTATTATTCAAATTTAGGTTGTATTATTCAAATTTAGGTTGTATTATTCAAATTTAGGTTGTATTATTCAAAAAAGTTACAGGTTTTTAAAAAAATAGAATATAACCTGACAATCTATTGTTAAAAAGCAGTGAAGTTGTATTATTCAAATTTAGGTTGTATTATTCAAAAAAGTTTCAGGTTTTTAAAAAAATAGAATATAACCCGACAATCTATTGTTAAAAAGCAGTGAAGTTGTATTATTCAAATTTAGGTTGTATTATTCAAAAATGTTTCAGGTTTTAAAAAAAATAGAATATAACCTGACAATCTATTGTTAAAAAGCAGTGAAGTTGTATTATTCAAATTTAGGTTGTATTATTCAAAAATGTTTCAGGTTTTAAAAAAAATAGAATATAACCTGACAATCTATTGTTAAAAAGCAATAAAGTTGTATTATTCAAATTTAGGTTGTATTATTCAAAAATGTTTCAGGTTTTAAAAAAAATAGAATATAACCTGACAATCTATTGTTAAAAAGCAGTGAAGTTGTATTATTCAAATTTAGGTTGTATTATTCAAAAAAGTTTCAGGTTTTTAAAAAAATAGAATATAACCTGACAATCTATTGTTAAAAAGCAATGAAGTTGTATTATTCAAATTTAGGTTGTATTATTCAAAAAAGTTTCAGGTTTTTAAAAAAATAGAATATAACCTGACAATCTATTGTTAAAAAGCAATGAAGTTGTATTATTCAAATTTAGGTTGTATTATTCAAAAAAGTTTCAGGTTTTTAAAAAAATAGAATATAACCTGACAATCTATTGTTAAAAAGCAGTGAAGTTGTATTATTCAAATTTAGGTTGTATTATTCAAAAAAGTTTCAGGTTTTTAAAAAAATAGAATATAACCTGACAATCTATTGTTAAAAAGCAATGAAGTTGTATTATTCAAATTTAGGTTGTATTATTCAAAAAAGTTTCAGGTTTTTAAAAAAATAGAATATAACCTGACAATCTATTGTTAAAAAGCAATGAAGTTGTATTATTCAAATTTAGGTTGTAAATTCAAGTACAATAATAGAATCCAAACATCTATTTGTAAATTTTTAAACCGCATTTATTCATGTAATCAAAATTATTTTATACAAAAATCTTTATAAATTCAGGTACAATAATAGAATCCAAACATCTATTTGTAAATTTTTAAACCGCATTTATTCATGTAATCAAAATTATTTTATACAAAAATCTTTATAAATTCAAGTACAATAAGAGAATCCAAACATCTATTTGTAAATTTTTAAACCGCATTTATTCATGTAATCAAAATTATTTTATACAAAAATCTTTATAAATTCAAGTACAATAAGAGAATCCAGACATCTATTTGTAAATTTTTAAACCGCATTTATTCATGTAATCAAAATTATTTTATACAAAAATCTTTATAAATTCAAGTACAATAATAGAATCCAAACATCTATTTGTAAATTTTTAAACCGCATTTATTCATGTAATCAAAATTATTTTATACAAAAATCTTTATAAATTCAGGTACAATAATAGAATCCAAACATCTATTTGTAAATTTTTAAACCGCATTTATTCATGTAATCAAAATTATTTTATACAAAAATCTTTATAAATTCAAGTACAATAATAGAATCCAGACATCTATTTGTAAATTTTTAAACCGCATTTATTCATGTAATCAAAATTATTTTATACAAAAATCTTTATAAATTCAAGTACAATAATAGAATCCAAACATCTATTTGTAAATTTTTAAACCGCATTTATTCATGTAATCAAAATTATTTTATACAAAAATCTTTATAAATTCAGGTACAATAATAGAATCCAAACATCTATTTGTAAATTTTTAAACCGCATTTATTCATGTAATCAAAATTATTTTATACAAAAATCTTTATAAAT